AAAGCTCGTTAAGACTATTTGATTTACTAAAGTTTAGTAAATATGGTTATACTTACAAGTTTAAGTATAATTCTGAAACATTGGAAAAGTCTCAATGTATGGCAGAACGAATGGGAAGAATCAAATTAGGCAGAAAGATAAAAGTTTCTCAAATCTGAAAAGATGGGAGAGTACTTTAGTATCATGTTTGTGATCATCTTAATGATTTAGAAATCATATCACAATTAGTCCTCTAAAGGTCATCTTAGTGCATTCTTATGACTAAGAAGAGGAGTCATGAATTGTTGAAATGGTTAGATCAGGAAGATGAGTCATACTTCGTTCCAAAACAATTCTTAGAGTCATACTCCAAGATTGTAACTTGAGTGACATATCTTAAAGAAAGGTTTAAAACACTTGTCAAATGTAAGAGTAAAAGTGTCCTACTTTGTACATTTGAAATTGGTAAGTTGTGATGTTTTGGATAAAACAAAGACCAACTAAGGCCAATTGTGTGAAGTGTTTGTCTTGATAAAGAATCCGCACTATCTCTTGAATATTTGGCAAGATAGTCTTATATGTCAAGAGGATAGTGGGAGTCTTAAAGATCCTAAAAAGAATTTCAAGAACTAATCAAGAATAAAACCTGAGGTTCTTCACTAGCACACGACTTGAGGTTTATAACCTATCGTGTTGACATATTCTGTGCCCATTCCAGTTAAAGTTGGCTTTGCATAGGAGTTCTGAAAGTTCTCAATTGGTTGCATAACAACTTGGAAGCAATGGCAGGCCCTGTACTGCCAGGTGGCAAGAAGTTAAGATTGCATAAGTTCAGTCCATATGAGTTTGGATTTGTCATTATCCTTGTCTTGTGACTATGGTTTTGACGATTCACATGGATAAGAACACATACACCATAAAATCTAAGGGTCATAAGGTTTCTCTCCGATTCATGAAAATGATGGTGAGGAAACACTTCCACCAAGTAGATTTGAAGCAGATGGCAAAAGGTCTAAACAATTGAGACTATGATTACGGCATCCCTTTTCATAGTTCTGAAATTGTTTAGACACACATGCATGCTATCTAAGGAAAGGTGTATGATTTTGATAAAATTTTATCAAAGCATCTCGTATCAGAAATCTGAACTTTGGTAAGAAAGTCAATAAAGTATTGATTTCTAGAAGTCCAACTGATTTCTGAGTACATGTCAAAGCTAGTGGGAGCATAAGTGTTATGATAATTATTGTTAGTGTTGCAAGTTAGCAATGTTAATTATAGAAAACAAAAGTTTCAATTCGTGAGGCTGCAGGGATTGAAAAAGTTGTTTTGCTATAATTAAGGGAGAGGATATACTTCATTTCAGTTCTAAAGGCTTAGATTGAGACCTTAATCATCTTTAGTCAAGAATATATATAGGAATTTCATGTTGGATTGGTTCAACTTAAGGAAATTCTATATATTGCGTTCTCAAAATTCGATTATGATTACGGCATCCCTCTTCATAGTCAAATTTTGAAAACATGGCAAATAAAAATATTGTAGCAAAAGACTGGTCTAGAATCATGTCTTTATGTGAGACATCATGAATCGTGTACCATTTGCTTTGGGTACAGGATCGATTGCATGTGCTATAATATTTGTCATTTCTAAATTTTTCCAAATGCCCAGAGGCATTAAGAAGGGAAAAGGTCTAGAATTGGATATGACTAAAATGATTAAGCAATTGTCGAGGACAATCTGAGGTTTACCAAAGATTGGTTGCTCAGGGACACTTGGAAGTATAGTGCTAATTTTGGAAGGACCATATTGACATATTCTGAAAAGAGGCATCTCTTATTCAGAAGTGATAGTCAAAATGAGAATATGGAGTTGTCTCCATAAGTGGAAGTTATCTGTGTAAGATTAGAAAACTTAATGCAAGAAGCATGTTCAAAGGAATGTACTTTGAATATGAGACTTAGTTTCCATGGAGTTGATCTCCATTGGAATACCTTATAATGACTGTTGACAATTCTTTGTGACTTTGTACATATTCATTACAGGAGGGTCAGTGCATATAAGTTTAAAATCTAAACAGATTTCGATAAATGATAGGAATTTGAAATTCTCACATTTTCGATAAGGATTTGGGAGTGTGAAATTAGAATCATTGAAATTATGTTCAATTGGTTTATTTCACAAAGTAAGGATCATAGACAAACATAGAGTGCATACTTGGTGTATGGCAAAGCTATTGTTTAAGAAAAACATAGTGTACACGCTTGGAGCATGGGACAACTAGTGTTTTTAATTCAAGTATAAAGTTGATAAAACCAAAACAATGAATAATGAGTAATCAGTATGGTGATAAATAAAAGTTTTTATTTATATTCATAGGGTTTGATACCATATTTGATTCATTTATTCTTGTGTTTCACTTTGCATGTTTTGACTTCCAGAATAACTAAGTCGCTCTTCCTGAATGATTAAGTTATTCAAACCATCCACAGTCGGTCATACGTTGGAAGTAGATATGAATCAAGACTGTCATGGGTTGGTTTGTAGAGGTCCAAGTTGGTGGACAAAGTGGTGCTACAACACTCATGAGTGCTCATAAGTTCTGAGTATTGGATTCAACCCGCGCTCATTGGAATCACTTCATGGATTTTATCACGAGTGATCATGAGACGATAATATCTTATATTCTTCAAACCTAGAGATATGAGTTGTTACTATGAGTTGGTTATACATTGATTGCACGAAAACGCATTTCGTAACTCGATGTTATAAAACGTGCCTTTGTGTATGATTCAACAAGTAGTAGAACAAGTCATATGAGTCGAAGTTTATCCATTCCTTTTACCTTCGGGATAAAAGCGATATCTGTGGGTCCCTCAATGATATAGCAATGACACATGTGAGTGCTTGGCCAAGCCAGGACTGATTTGATTTGTTCAATCAGTCAGTCATCATAAATCGAAAATCGGGAAACAACAAATGGACAGAGAGAATGATTATAATCCATGTCTCAGTCCATATGATATCTAGAATGGAGGAATATATGATCCCTTATCTAATGGACAAGTCATTGACAAGGTTAGAGTTCGACAGCGACTTTAAGAGCTACGATTGCCAGTTAGGTTTTGAAGTCATACTCAATAGTAGTTTTAGACTTATCCAAGTGGGAGACTGTTGGATTAATGTCTAAGTCCATAACTATATTTGGTATGTACATGACCCGACCCGGCATGGTCCATTTGGGTTGCACTTCACCGACACAATTTATATGGATAGTCTTTTGAGAATAGTATATTTATGATTTATATTAATATATTATAAGTTCTAATATATTAATATGGAATCATATTATTTAATTAGTATTGATCAAGAATTAATTTAGAATTAATTAAGTGATAAAAAAGAACTAATTAAATATGGACTCTTATATATATGGAATGGGCCAAGTTCATTTAGGTTGGGCTAAGCTTTCATGGATGGTCCATGGAGCTTTTAACCCATGGATCCTATGTAAATGAAAGGTCATGGGTATTAGGGTTTACATGGATGTAACCCTAATCCTCCATAATATATAAAGGGGTCCTTGGCTCACAAAATTGGCACAAGTGTGTGAAAATAAGAGTGGGCCGATTTTAGTGTGCATACATATTCTCTCAAGTTCTTCCAAGGTGTTTTGGTGATTTATGATTCCATTTGAGGCTTCCACACTATTGGGGCTAAGCTCTTAAAGCTTGAAGACATAAAGCTACATCAAAAGGTATGTTATCTAACTAGAACTTTGTAGTATAGGTGCTTCATAATATGCTAGTTAGGATGAAACCTTGGAATAGTTAATATTTGCCTGTATAATAGAGAAAACATAGATCCAAGGTTTATAGGGTTGCATGTACACCATAGGAGTGTTAGAATGCTGAAAACCCAACAATATTAAGGTAATTGTGTTATTTAAATAGTTTTTTGTTTATTGTAAATAAGTAAATATATATAATTTATATATGTGGTTCAGGTTCCAGTGGCGATGTTTGGGGGGTCTGGAAACTATGCAGCTGCAAAAGCCAAAACATTGGAAAAAGTTGAAGCAGAGCTTCTTAGAAATCTCCAAATTTTTCACAGTTCATGAAGGATTTGGCAGTGCCTGCAGATAGCTCAGAGGCAAAAAGGTAATTTGACATGGAAAAATGTAGCATGCTTCTTTTGCAGTGTGACATAGCTCAGGGGCAAAAAGGTAATTTGACAGAGAAACATGATTATCTTACCATGTATGAGCAGAAGGCAAACGATCACCTCCCTTTGAGTAGCTTGAAATCCATTCCCAAATCCAGGCGTCACCTCCCTTTCAGACAGCCAATAAACATGTTCGTATCAGAAACAACTAATAAACCATGTTAATTCTTCAAGAAAATTTAAATAAATACACAATGGGGGTTACTCATCTTACTAAATGTAGCTATTTGGAATTCAGACAACCATGCAAGCTCTCTTACAATGGGGGTTACTCATTTCTAGAAAGAGACCTTGAAGATTCCTCCTTGTCCTACAGATAAAGGAAATGTAAGAAAAAAAATTAAGTCTCACAAAGTATATGGACAATTTTATACAAAATTCTACTGAAACAGATAGAAACTTGGGAGTGTTTATATTAGGTCATATCCTAAGAAGGCCCATAAACAAGTGATATGCTTAATCAATCCTTAATTCTTTTCCAGAGTGTGGTAGTTTGTTATTAACATGAAAGGCCCATAAACATCTATTATACATCATCCTACTTTCCTTTCATCTTATTACAACATTCTACTTTCAGAAATCTACCCAGTTTTAGCAAATGTATTACAAATACAAAGTGACTTCACTGCTTAATTAGGTAAAAAATTTAGAGTATAATGTCCTAATAAGCAAAACAATTATAAGTAGAATATCAGACATATTATATTCTTTAAGAAAATCCATGACATCAGGAGACAAGGGTGATGGCCAAGTTTGTCTGTTTAAATTTATCATAAAAAAAGGTTTATTTGAAAAGACTAAATTCTCACCTGTATTGCATGGCCAGTATGTCGGACAACCACAATTTGAAACTTTCCCTGCATTTGTCCTATCGTGAGAGCCCTGGTACAGAAAATTACCATATTACCCTTCCACCAAGAAATAATATTGACTTTTTATTTAACACTTATTATATATTATATTGTGAGGGCCCTGGTGCAGTCATATTCTTAATTAAATTTTAAACATCATTTATCCAAACAACACTGAATGGGAAGAAAAAGAAAGAACCTGTCAAGTCTATCTATTCCAGCCAACAGCAACAGCTTTGGGACAGGAGATGACAAAATTTTTTCCGAGAGGCCTTCATACCTGAATTTTTTTTATTTACAACAATAGAAAGTTAAACATAATAAAAAAAATTCCTTCAATGACTACAAATATCAAAGAGTTAATTTTTACCATCCTCTGAAATATTGTTCTGTTTCCTCCAATCGTGTTCTGTGTCGATAGCTGTACATACAACAGCAAGATCAGTCAATTTGCACAAAAGGAATTCAATATATTTGTAAAAAATATTTACAAGGGAGTTGAATTACTAATCTGTTAACTTTTGTTTCTAAATTCCAACAAATAATTTACAAGAATCAAGATATGTTGTATAAAAATTAGGAATGACAAAAGAAAAAAGAAATTAGTTTTTAAAAAATAAAAAACCTAAAAACTTACCACTACTGTGAGTCATCATACTTTACAGTCCCGGGAATCGATATTCGAGCAGAATCGATGTTTCTTAAAGAGCCTGATCTCACATTCCACTCAATCTGTAAATATTTACAAATTACAATTCAAATATTATAAAAAAAAATTAACAGTTTTGTACATTCTTATAAATATATGAAATAAGTGAAGTCAAAAGGTTGATTTTACAGCTTTCTCAAGAGTTGGAAAATGTTGCACTCTGTTTGATAGAATTTTCTGCATATGCATCAATGAAGCCATAGCTGTCCCCTGAAATTGTAATTTTGACTTTTAATATTTTTAAAAAAGTTGAAAACAAAAAGTTTATAGTAAAATACACTTGATAGGAGTGAAACTACCTTTTTCTTTTTCATCATAATCTTGGCAGCAGCCTGAAAGAAATATCTACATATAGCTTCCATGATTAAGTGCATGCTTCTTTTTGACTTGAGATTCCCATTGAATCCACGAGCCAAACACTCCCTAAACTACTAATAGACATGTGTTGCTATATACTATAACTGTAACTCATTTTATTTATGTGATTCTAGGACATAAAATATAGGATTAAATAACCAAATCTATAGCACCTATGATTCATTCACATATATAAAAATAAATTGTTAAAGAAAACAATGGAATGGGGAAAGAAAAAAGAGGAAAACAAATCTTTCATGGTCCTGACAACATGGACAATTAGTAACAAAATTCACAGGCAAGTCAAGGCAAAACTTAGATAAAGAAAGGTGAAGTGGCATGTGAGCTATTTGTGGTATTAGACCTGAAATGTAATAATAATTATTATATGTATATATAACACATGGCAATATAATATCCTACAAAAAAACGGCTCTTGTAGACAAGTGAACTGATTTCCAAAAGCAAAGCCTCTGTAAAGCAAATCCCACTACTCCCATAACAACATTTCTGCAACAAAACAGATACGAATAAGATGATGCTACTGGAAAGGTGGAGGATAATGAAAATCATAACATGACATCATCATCACCCTGCCAAAAGGCCCACCAACTTCAAAGTTCAAACCCTAATCTTGCAATTTCAATCTTGTATACGGATTTGTAAAAGCCTAAACCCGAGTCCATGAGTCTGGCTTAGAACCCAGAATGACCATCTGAGGATTGATCTACCACATTTGCGAGTTCCCAGAATCTAGGGTTTAATATTCTATTCTCAAAACATATGTTCAATATTATCAATACAAGCAGAAAGTAAAGAGACCACAAGAACATAGAAAAAATACCTGCTTTTTTTTGAAAGAGCAAAGGACCGAGAATTTTGAGGAATTGTAAGTCTCGGGACGGAATCGATCAAGAACGCCTGTGAATTTCGACACATAAATGTACCTATTCAAAATTCTGAAAGGTAAGGATGATGACGATGCGTTGGATGTGAGCATACATGAGCAATAGAAACGGGCAAATGAAGGCTGAGAAATTAGGTCTAGCTAGTGTTTGCTAACACATTTGAACCTAAAAATTGATTTCAGGGGCAATCTTGCGAGGATTTCGAGAAGGAGAGACTCAGTGAGGTTTTGAATATCGTATGAGAACGTATGAGCAAGGAGAAAAAGCCCTAGAACTGATGATTCGGAAAGAGGGTTTAGTTGTGTTGAATCGATTGGTGTGATTACTTGTGTTGAATCGATTGGAAATGAGTTCTGATCACCATCATCGTCGATGCGATTGTCGATTTGATTGATTGAATTGTTGGGTTCCATTTAGCGGTGGTTTGAGGTTGGAAATGGAAATGGAAAGAGCGCCACCAAGGAGATTGGGGAGCGGAAGAAGAGAGAATCAGAGAAGTTCGAAGTGTGGATTGAGTTTTTAGGGTTCAATTTCAACTCAATTAGTAAAGAGTCCAAAACAATTACACCTCCCTGTACCTCACTCAATAATCGAAACCATATAAATTCTTGAGTTTTGTATGAACTTTTCTCACGAATGATGTTCACGTCGCCGGCTCCAAAGCGCCATAATCATGCCGAGATCCAGAATCGTATATGTTTTCTGTTTACAAATCTGTTGTTGTACCCTGAAGAATCAACCTAGGTATTCCCACCGCTGAAGACGAAGATGAAGGCCCTAGGGATTTTTCTTGCTAAGTAAAAGAGGCGGGGGGATTAATTTTTGGGATCCAATAGGCGGGGGTAATTTTCGTCGTTTTCATTTCCCGCCTAAAACGCGTGTTTCACTTAAAAATTATAAAGCGACACATTTACATGACGCACATTTTATGAAAGGCGCCCTCCACATTTCTTTTTTTTTTGTTTTCTGACACTAATTTTAGGGCGCGCACAAATGCTTGTCCTCTATCCTTCAAATTTAGCAAAACTGACATTATTTTTTAGGGCACTCACAAATGCTCGTCCTCAACCAGCGAGTGTCATTGTTTGCGCGTCATTAAAGGGCTGTTTTCTAGTAGTGCATATACCATACACATATCACATAACATATCTTGGGCCCCGCCCCTGCTACATCGAGTCAGGCTCGACATCGAGCCCTGCCCGACATCGAACCCTACTCGGCATCGCGCCCCACCCGGCATCGAGCAAATCTCGGAATACATAAGAGCATAATCAGCAATACACATAAACCTAAGCACATAATGTTAACACTTAAACATTCCTCGGGCCCCGCCCGACATCGGACCGTAATCTGGTATCATACTAACATTCCTCGGGACCGCCCCGACATCGAACCGAAGTCCGGAAACGTACAATACAAACATACGCAAGAATCACAAAGACATCAAGCATACAACCATTCCTCGGGGACCGACCCGACATCGGATCGAAATCCGGAAATGCATATAAACATACATCAGGCCCCGCCCGACATCAGACCATAGTCCAGAACTACTACTAACTAAACGGGCCGGTCTTGGTGCCTTAGACCCGTTCCTACAGGAGGAAACTCACCTCGAATGCTAGCTGTGAAATCTCGTGTGAGGAATCTTTGATGGCTGCTCCAACGACTCCTCGACTATTAATTTCACAATAACACTTAATCAAAATCTGATAATCCTTCTTAGAGTAAAATGACCATTTTACCCCTGGTCAAATTCAACATCGTGGTCAAAGTCAAAGTGAAGGTCAACTCCCCGTCAACCCAACTCGTCGAGTTATCTCCCAACTCGGTGAGTTCCTGTACTACTCAGACTCGTGGTCAACCGACTCAACTCGTCGAGTCCCTTCACAGACTCGTCGAGTTCTACCTGGCATACAATCGAGACAACCCGGCTTCAACTCGTCGAGTCCCTTACTGGACTCGCCGAGTTCCCCTGTCTGTTTGGGCTATCTTAGCGGATTAAGCCCCTACACTTCAGATCCAAGCTTCATACTTCACAATAACCGTGAAAATGTCCTTTTAAGGGTAAAGTTTCCGACTGTACCCCTTAATACCACTTCTTAAAGGGTTTAGCTCAAACCCTAATTCCTTGGGACCTAGAACTTGGTCCTTAAGCCTTCCTTACACCAAACTCAAGCTTACAACCTCAGATCTAAACCCCTAACACTACAGGGACACATAAAGTTCCCACTTTTACCACATGCATGGCCTTTTGGGGCTAAAAGGCCAATATGAATCTCTAAAGCTTGCATCGGGGCTCCAATGGCATAAAGTTTGCACCTTTATATCATAACAACCCCTCTAAGTCTTAGATCTGGAAGATTATCCACTTTGGTTGTCCATTCTCAAAAGGTGATCATTCTTGGGCAAAACGTTCATAAAAGGGGAAGGAAGAGATCTAATGAACTAGAGGTCAAGATATAAACTTGATTACCAGAAAATGTAGCCAAAGAAGTGTAGTTTCTGGATCTACTCTCTTGCTCTTGATCCTTCTAACTCCTTCTTCTTCTTCAAGCTTCAAGAACACAAAAGATTTCTTACAAATGGCTCACACACTCACAAGATGCTCTAGGGTTTCGTGGATTAGGGTTTGGGACAAGGAGGTTGTAAATGAGGCTAAGGGGTAGGGGTTAAGGAGCTTAAATAGGGTGCAAAACCCCGAAATTAGGGTTTCATTCTGGCTGATCTACTAGCCGAGTCGAGGGCTCTTGACTCGTCGAGTAAATAGCTTAAACCCCACACATAATTTGCCTTCTACTTGACGAGTTAGGGCCACCAACTCGTCGAGTCCCTCTCTTAAAATGAATAAATAAATAAGTTAAATGCATACTAGGAACCAGGCATTAGATGTTGCTTTCCAGTTAGTGCCTTTTTTAAGGTTGTTAGCTCGATATGGTCCATTTTGTTTTTTATTACTCACAATTGGGACATTCGAACAATTCCAACTCCTCATTTATAACATTAATTAATTCGTAAAAAGTGTTAAACGGTGCATGTTTACTTTAAAAATATTAACTACGTTTTTACTTTTTTTTAATTTCACTACACCATGATCAAATATCCCATCTAACAAGGCAAACTTTTAGTAGAAAATAATTTAAGAATGGAGTGATATCTAAATACCCTCCTTCCTTTTTCATAGATCTTATGGAGATATTTTTACATGAAATGCCTTTGTCTTCACTTAATATATAATCTCATTCTTATAAGAATCGTACTTTATTTCTACGAGATCTTGGAGTTGCAATTTCCTCTTCTTACCCACTTTTTTCGTCTATGTTGAATTGTTTTACCATCTAATATGTTCTATACTCAAGTTCTATGGAGAGTTGAGATTGCTTCCCAATTACATGGTAGAATAGAGACATACCACTAGGTGTCTTGAATATAGTTTGGTGTGCCAACAATACATCTTCTAGTATATTGCCCCAATTTTTTTAGTTTAAATTTAGCACCTGTAAGTCCCAAAAATTAGCTTGATGTATCAATCAGATCCACTTGATGGTGCGGAATTCCAATCAAGTGGATGATGCAAGATAGAATATAGAAGAAGAATAAGAAGAAGTTGATGAATCTATGGTGTATTCAATAATATGAATGATGTTCCATACACATAAGATCTACACACACACACTCTTCTTCTCTCTAGTTTCTCTCTCTACAATATGATTATGAATGAATGCTCCTCTAGACTCCTCACCCTTACATATATATATATATATATATATATATATATATATATATATATATATATATATATATATATATTATATAGATATATATATATATATATATATATATATATATATATATATATATATATATATATTATATATATATATATATATATATGGACCGCAAACTCAAGGCCCAAACCCCATGCTAGACCGAAAACACGTGGGTTTTCGGTCCAAGCTACAATTAAACCAAATATTACTTTTGGCCCAAAAATAAAAACAATAAATGCTTTGAAAAGCAAAGTATAAACCATATTTTTGACCCAACAATCTCCCCCTTAGTTTATAGCTTTCTTTTCTTTGACCCAACAAACTCCCCCTAAAAATGTAGCTAACTTTTCTTGTCAATCTTAATTTGGAGCTTAGCTTCAGCTTTAATCTTCAATTTTCTTCACGACATCAAGATGAGAATATAAATCTTCTAAGTGAGTAACTTCATCTTGAACAGTTAGGCATTTCTTCAAAATTTGACTCTGAACGCACATTAGGTGAGGAGGCTTCTTGAAAAGATTCTTGAAAATCAGCACTTTCAGCTTGAGAATGTTCAGAGAGAATAACAGAGAACGAATCTTCTGGATCACTTCAGAAGGTTCATAGATAGCGGAAAATTGATTGAGGAGGATTCAATTCAATTTGTCACATAATCTTCAAGTCAGCTTCACCTTGCTTCTGGGGTTGAAAGATTGTATGTTGAAAAATGATCTTCACTTCTAGTTCCTTCGCATGAATGTTCTTGAAAGATCACCGTTTCGCCTTGGAAGTAACAAATAACTAAAAAGTCCCTGTAGATCACAGAAAGAATCGTAAAGACCCTTTTCACCACAGTTGTTCAAGGATGAATCCTTGGCTTAGAAAGAGACTTCTCACAGTATCTGTGTGAACTCGGAGGAACGCACTGCGATTTTTTGAGTATCAGAGAACTACTCCTGGCTAGTTTTGATGTTAGCCCCTGTATATCCTTGATCATAGATCTCAATACAGTTATCAATTTAACGAGTTAACTTGGCCCTTGGCGAGACGTTTAGCGATACTTGTTTCCCTGTTGGGTGAATCGCCCTGGTGTCGTGACAGTTCTTAGGTAAAGAAAGCTGACAAGACCAATCTGACAATTTGTACCGTTTCAGACTTTCAATTCCTTAGATACGACGGTTCTTAGAAAGAAGCTGCCTAACTGGCATTTTGTACAATGTCACACCATGTATGAGCCATTATCCGTCAATTCATGGGTAAAATCTAGAACATATAAAATGTTCGCCGTCAATTCAGAAATAAATGGTGTTGGATTTTGGGTTCCACTTAGATTCATGGCGACAACAACATCTAAGATCATAAACCAAGACTTTTTGGCAACCGTCAGCCGAGTTCTTTTATACTCGAACCTCAAGGGGTACGGGTACATGGAAGTGATTTGATGGAGAAAACTTTAGATATAGGTGAAGAATGGTTGGGTGTTTCACATTGGTCATGGTGAAAATGACCTTTGATCATTAACATTTGATGCGAAGACTCCTATTAAGACTGGTATATGTCTCAATATGGAAGAGTCTATCACTCACATGTGAATCATCTGTCAATTCCTTGTGAAAGTAGTGTGAAGTGTAATGACCGTCAATTCCTTTCCACTTTCAGGTTTC